CATGGAATTGTCCAAAATGTCTTGGTATGCTGAAGCATTCAGAGTTCCTTTCCTTGGAACTAAGGGGCCAAGCCCAGCTCCTGAAAAACAACCCCACACCATAATCCCCCCTTCACCAAACTTTACACTTGGCACAATGCAGTCAGACAAGTACCGTTCTCCTGGCAACCGCCAAACCCAGACCCGTCCATCAGATTGCCAGATGGAGAAGCGCGATTCGTCACTCCAGAGAACGCGTCTCCACTGCTCTAGAGTCCAGTGGCGGCGTGCTTTACACCACCGCATCCGACGCTTTGCATTGCACTTGGTGATGTATGGCTTGGATGCAGCTGCTCGACCATGGAAACCCATTCCATGAAGCTCTCTGCGCACTGTTCTATAGCTAATCTGAAGGCCACATGAAGTTTGGAGGTCTGTAGTGATTGACTCTGCAGAAAGTTGGCGACCTCTTCGCACTATGCGCTTCAGCATCCGCTGACCCCGCTCCGTCAGTTTACGTGGCCTACCACTTCGTGGCTGAGTTGCTGTCGTTCCCAAACACTTCCATTTTCTTATAATACAGCTGACAGTTGACTGTGGAATATTTAGGAGCGAGGAAATTTCACGACTGGATTTGTTGCACAGGTGGCATCCTATCACAGTTCCACGCTGGAATTCACTGAGCTCCTGAGAGCGACCCATTCTTTCACAAATGTTTGTAAAAACAGTCTGCATGCCTAGGTGCTTGAATTTATACACCTGTGGCCATGGAAGTGATTGGAACACCTGATTCCAATAATTTGGATGGGTGAGCAAATACTTTTGGCAATATAGTGTATGTCGGTGGCTGCTGGTGGAGGAAGCTGTCTAAGCCGCTGTCAGCGAGCTTTGTGCATTTCATCCGGCGGGCTGATTGTCTCCTTCCTGCAAACAGTGTTGAACTAACTGAGAAACAGATCATTAGCAGGGTTTACTGTTAGCTGGCCTCCCTCTGGAGTCTAAACATAGACTCAACAACAATGGTTTCTGAACCCATAAGGCTATAAATAGGTCAGCATAGCTATACTTGGTCATGCCTTGATATTACTGACGACCTCAACTGTCTGGATAGGCTGTTATAGGCTGATTAAATAAACTGGGACTTTAAAGTTATTATTTTTTTTTTCATGTTTGAAACAGTTGAAAAGCTGGTCAAGAAAAACATAAGATTTTGTCTGTTTTCCTCAATTTAACCTTCATTTCTAACACTTAAAAACACATTTTTCATGATTATTTGGTCCTAGTGGCATTTATTCACAGTTGTCATTCAGGACACAGACAAAGCTAGGAGCGATAATGTAGCAAAGACCTTGAGGTCAGGAGATAAACCCGAGAAAAGCCTTCGTAAATGGGAAGCCTACCGTACCTCCACACAGCCCTCCTACACAAACACATCCTTTTTAAGGGTTTAAATGAAGTGGTTTGGCTTTCTAACATGTAAAAACTTTTTTTTTTTTCAGGGTCACACCAGGAAACAAAGAGGTACGAGCTGCACATATATTCAAGAACCATATTGTATAATAGTATCATATCATTGTAATGTCTAGTTTAGAGTGTTCGGATATTTGCAAGGACTAATGGAGCCTAGGCGGAAGTTCAACTGAAGAAACTCCTTGTTTTTTCATACATCCACCTGCGACACAGCCGATCAGCTTTGAACCACACCTCCACGAAAGCCAATCAGCATCCAAAGTTCATCTTAAAAGGTCTCCGATACGCACTTGTCTGCTCCTGTGCGCATGCAGCGGATGCGCAATGACTTCATTCAGATGACTCCGTTTCAACCCACCTCCAGCCCCTCCTCCACTTTCGTAGCTAGAGTGTCATTCCTCCAGGACTCTTACTGTGTTCCCTGTCTCATCTCAACCGGTCCGGCAGAATACCACCATGTTGAGCCTTGTTCTGCCAGAGGTTTCTTCCAAAGAGGGAGTTTTTTGCTCTCCACTGTCGCTTCATGCTTGCTCATCATGGACAGGTTCTCTCAACCTGTGTTATCCAACTGGACTTCCATCTTCCAGGTCCCTGAATGAAGCTCTAGTATCAGCTCACGCAGTCCACTGGATCTCCCCATAAAGCTCAGAAGACCGTCTCACTAACCAGCAGTCTACAGACTGACCAACTTCCTCTATCTCCACTCCACCACCAGTTTCAGGCCTGGGGGGGAAACAGCCCTATTCTTTGCTCCTGTTCATGCATGTCTATCTCACACACTTTGTGTGAGTTTTTCAGGTTGAATTGCTGGTATTCAGCCCCTACAGTCTCTGAAACTTATGGATCATATATTATTTTCATCTACTTCTCTTATTAAAGTATAACAAACTGATATGACCTGATTAAATAGTCAGACTACCTGCTCTGTTAGCTGCTTGCCATATCTTCAGAAGTGTGTGGTAGATGATTGTAGCAACTTTGAAACAGTAAATTTGTTGGTATACCTTAACATTATGATCCAGACCATCAATGCCTGCAGTTAAGCCATGTTAATGTGGATAACCTGCATAATAACCTGCCTGATGCTGTATTCTTTCTGAATGCAGATAACATATTTTTTTGTTCATCTCTCTTTCAGTCTTTTAATGACTTTAGCTTTTGCAGTCTAAAGTGACTACTTTTAGGCCCATCGTATTTTCTAATGCTGGAAAATCAAAATCTGTGCTATTTTCATACAAGATGCTTCTTCCTGTTCTCTAAAGCTTTTTGGAGTTTTAAGGTTGAAACGCAGATTGCCAGAAAAAAAAAAAAAGTATTCTGACTCATGAAAATTTTTTATACCTCATATACATATCAACTATTTTAAGATGAAATTTTATTTGGGTTTTGTTTTTATAAGAAATGAAAGACAATGTTTCTTACATCATTATTATATTGGTCAATCTTTTTTTCTCCCTAATGGATTCTGGAGATTTTCTTTATATAAACTACACCGCAGTGGTTGGAAAATTGAGCAGTTGCAGCGGCATACATCACTGTACTTAGATTGCTACAACATGTTTAACATCTCTCAGTCTGCAGACTCTTTCCTTTGATGCTTTGTTTTCTACAAACACATTCTTGGGCTTTCGTTCTGAGTATTAATGCTGATTTCTGGGCAGGAAACGCCACAATTATGATTTAAGTTCTTGCTACTTGGAGTATCTTTCAAAAATACTTACATCTGATACATCTCTCGCTTCGCTTATAACTGGGGGAATGGAAGTTAGTTTTAAAGGACATCTACATTGATATTTCATTCATATTCCAAGGAATTTTTCATACATTTTGAAATACTCTTTTAATTTTTTTGGATTGGTCTTATATTTGGTCGTATTGTATATTTTACACTGTTGTCTTTGCCAGGGTACCCTTTAAAAGGGATCTGTAATCAAAATCGCTGTTGCTATTTTAATCCAGAATATATTAAATTATAATAATAAACTTAATTTTTAAGATTTCAGATCCTATTAAAATTATGCCTCTTTGAGATCCCCAGGCTCCCAAACTACTAGAATAAAAGGAGTATATGTTGGGATCTGGAGTTCTGTCCACTTTCTCCACGAGAGGGCGTACTAGATCTCCTGGAGCCGCAGCTGATTGCAACCACCTGTCGCTCATCTGCTCATCAGGAGATCTGTATTTAAGGAGGCTGAGGACTTCTCTCCAGTGCCAGAGTGTTTGCCAGTTACGGTTAGCAAGCCTGAGCCAACCTGCCTGTCTGAATCTCTGACTCCCTGAAAACCAGAACCTGAACCTGATCTGTTTTCTCCTCTCTGGTTCCTAGATTGAACCTGTCTGAAACCTGAAACCCAGAAGAGTATCTCTGCCGGTGATCTGCCTGTCTGTTCTCTGAAGAACCCTGGAGAACTATTCCTGTCAAAGACCTGCCTGCCCGCTCTCTGAAGAAACCGGAAGGGAAACTCTAATCGGTAATCTGCCAACACTCAAACCAATCTCTGCCTCCGCCTAGCCCTCAGCCTGCCGACAGCCTCTGGACCCTCAAGGTTCCCCCCTCAGCCGCTCAGCTCAACTACTGTACAGGTACAGCCCTGCACACTCTCATCCTGCAAATTACCTGGACCTCCACTAACTCCTCTGTCCCCCTCTGCAGTGAACCCACTTGTGACCAGTCCTGGACCTGTTAACTCTGTGTGCATTTCAGAATCCACTCGTGACCAGACGAGTTCCCCTTGGGATCTGTTTATTTATTGTATTCCATCTTCTAAATAAACTTTTGAACTTTTATCCAGTCTCGGAGTGTTCTGCATGTGGGTTAGGCACCTGAAGCCAAACATGACAGTATAAGGGATTTGTGGTATCATTCTGTAAAAACTGAGGACAAAAAAATAAATAAATAAATCAAGTTCTTCATATAAGTGTATTTCCCATTAATCTGAGCAGGTAAGTACATTAAGCTGCCAATGAAATTAATATCACTACTTATAATAAAATAAGGACACATTATGTATTTAAAATAAGATACTGGAGTTGCTTTATGTTTGCTATTTCAAACATCAGTCATTTTTTCCATTGATAAATTGTCTCAACTATCAACTCAAATCAAGGAAAAATACACTTATTTCAAGAAAAAAAACAGATTTATATCAATTGTCTGCAGTGAGAGGTGTAGAAGAGAACATCTAAAGACAGCTCGGTGCTATTTGTCATCTTCAATGAGACGGAAGCACCAAAGCAACTATGAACTATTTTACATTAAATGTTTCAGCTGAAAGGGGTTTTCTAATTAATTCCCTTTTGAAATACACGTCTGAATACACAAAAGAAACCCCCCCTTTCAGCACACCGACACACTCCTCACTCCTCTATTCACCACGAGGACATTGAAGTGCAGTGAAGTAATTCATTCAGTGACGAGTCACAGAGCAGTGAGGAAGTAGTGTGGAGGAAAATCAGCGTCGAGGAGTCTCTTCATCCACCCACTCATCTCTCTCATTGGCTGAGAAGCTTGATGTCACACCCTGGCCCGCTCTATAAAAAGCTACTTTCCCACACAGGCGGCAGATCAGCTGGAAGCTCGTTTACTGACAACAAAGAGGACAGCTTACTCTGGCAGGCACCCAGGAGAAATATTTGGGAACTATTCAGCAGAGAGTAGAAAGCATCTCACCATGTGCAGAGGACTTGAATCACTGCCTATCACCTGCTTGGAAAGGTAAACTCAACCAGAGGTTTCACACTGAAAACAAACGTTACTTTTTTTCACACCAGCAGGCTGCTTATGTGTTAAATATCATCTAAACTGCTGTGTGACACTGAACGTCGATGTGTTCCCGCAGGGCAAAGGAGCTGAGAGCCTTGTTTGGAAGTTTACTGCAGAGATCGGACCACAGCATTACAGGACAGGCCAAGAAAAGTGACAAACTAAGGTAAGGCTGACATGCAATCTCTCTTTGGAAGCATTTTAGTGAAACCACATGGGAAAGGTTTTCTAAATATATATATTTTTTTCTGTTAATTCAGATTACATGAAGTCAATGAGCCTTTAAAGTGGAAGGAGTCATTTGACAATCTGCTGTCAAGTCAAAGTAAGTTCTAGTTCATTGTGACAGAATCCTTTTAATCAGTGGTTTGCTTTGAGCAGCAGGTTTTAAATCCTCCTTTTGCTCTTCTTTCAGACGGACTGTGTCTGTTCAGAGCATTCCTGGTGTCAGAGTTCAGCGAGGAAAACATTGCCTTTTACTTGGCCTGCGAGGACTACAGGACGACGAAACCGTCCAAGCTTGCCGCCAAGGCAAAGAAAATCTATGAGGAGTTCATCTGCTGCGATGCACCACGAGAGGTATGTTTGCTCTGGAATCCAATCTTCCTTTACTTTTTCTGTTTTATGACAATCATGTAGCCAAACGTTGAATCTAAACCATCTCTTCCTATTTGTCTATAGGTTAACCTTGACCATGCTACCAGAGAAATCACCAAGGAGAACATGAAGCGGCCCAATCAGTCCTGTTTCGACCAGGCTCAAGACAAAATCCACACCCTGATGGAGAAAGACTGCTACCCTCGCTTCCTCAGATCATCTGTGTACCTGGAGCTGACCAGAAAAACAAAAACTGGTTAAGGGACTTCGAAAAAAGAAAAAAAAGGAAGTTTGACAAAATTGTCTTCTCCTGAGAAAGAGGATGCAAACTCTAGGATGTGCTGCTGTGGCTGCAAAGGCTCAGTTGAAAGCATGCAGAGTTTCTGGTTGACTGCTGAAGTTGAGTCTCATCGACGGCTCCAAGGATCAGGATGCAAGCTGGAGGCTTTGAGAAGAAGCTCACACAGACGGAGTGTTAAAAAACTCATGTACTGTTCACAAAAAAACAGCAGAGAGGTGCTATCACACAACCTAACTACCATACGATGGTGTAGCATTAATATTTATTTATTTGTTATTTATTGAAAAAGTGTTTACTGGATGTTTGTGCAACTTATTGCTGGAAATGTATTTTATACATTGATTTTTTTATCTGAAAGTAATATTGAATAAAAGATACAAAGAAAGTAAATGACTGGTTGGATGTTTATAAGCAAATATGATAAGAAAAGAGTTTTGTTTTTTTAGAGTTAAGACTTGTGAAGTTTAAACCCGGAGGGTGTGTGAGTGACTTGTTTATTCTGAGGTCTCAGTCACTGGTTCAAATGAGAGTGTTTACAAGAGAATGTGGCATTTATGTAGCTTTATTAGCATAAAAAGGTGGTTTTTACACTGAAGAGCACCTAAATTATACTTTCACTGTGACTGCCAGACAACCTGTTCATTATGTGTCTGGCTCATCTCCATCAAAGCTCTCCAGAAAGTGACAAAGAAAGGATAAATATTGATTGATGGATGATTCAGATTTAATTTAGCCTTTAAAAAAAAGTTAAATATAATAAACTCTCCAGACATTTATCTAAATCAGTTGCCAACATCAGTCAGATTGAATAAAGAAAAAAAAATGCACGTCTGCAACATAACTTATAGAAAAAAGAGAGGAACTAATATAATTAGAGATTTCAATAAAGATATAAAACAGCTGTGATAAAAATATTCTTTAATTAAATCCCTGAAGGATAAAAATAGTGGTGAAACAGGCGGCAAAGTGGAGTGGAAAAAGGCTTGGCTTTAAGGAGAGGTGTCAACAGGCGGATTTGAAGATGAATGGAAAAACTGGGAGGTGTAGAGGAGGACTGCTGTGACTGGAACAATAAAAGGTGAGACTAACAGGCATGAAGGAGCTGAGAGGGAATCATCAGATGCAAGTTGACTCTAGTGAAAAACTGCAGAGCTTAAACCAAAAGGAAGTAGAAATGAATCAAAGGATTTTTTTAAATACTCTAAAACAAAATTAAGACCACATCCAAATTCCTTAAAAATTTAGTATACAGTATATGAGAGAGTAAAAAAAAAATCTTTTAATGCATTTATTTCCTATTGGATTAAAACGGATACATCTCTTTAGACAATGCAGGAGAAAGTGAATCAAAGCAAAAAGCACATTTGTCAATGTTAAGCAGAAATGGGTCAAAATCAGAATTACAGGTCAGACCTTAAAGAAAATAAGATTGATATCAGCCTTCAAAAACTGGAGCTGAAAAATAAACCAATTCCGTTACAATGTCCGTTCATCTTCTCCGTCAGCATCATGATGCGGCAGTGTGTGGGCGAAAGGCAGGTTGCACCCCGGACACGTCACCAGTCTGTAGGCTAACCCAGAGACATACAACCATGCAGACACTAGGGGTGTGCAAATTAATCTTCATGACGATGCATCGCGATTCTAATTGTTGTGATCTACTGCATCGATTCTTGACGCGAAGTATCGATTCTTAATTTAAAAAAAGGAATAAATAAAATACATGGATGGTTGGCAGACATCCACCAAAAACAAGTGGAATACAGCTTCCAGTTAGTAGATGTCGCTGCGGATGTGTTGACGCCCGCTGCCTTGTGTCACAAGCATTTGCGTCCGAGGAATACTGCAACGACTCATTCATAAACAAAACACGGAGGAGACTGAGAAAATTCGCCCCGCGGCTCCATCACATTTCAAGTCAGATGTTTGGATGCATTTTGGCTTTAAAAACAAAGAAGGTAAAAACGGATTTGATATGATGCACGTAATTTGCAAAAGGGGAAATGTCATATATTAGAATTTTTTCATTTCAGTGGTTTAAAGGACCACTGAGGCCATGTAAATGGCACTGATTATCCCTATGTTGTTATTTTAAGTTTTATAAATCCTAAGCACTTTTTGTCAGTGTGTCCACTCCAGTAATAGTAATATTTTTGTCCAGTATTTGTTTTCATGGCAACACCTCCAAAAGTCCTTTCAATAAACACAGCTATGTATGAATTCAGTTGCTTTCAGTTATGTATCATGGCATGTGAATCGTGATTTGAATCGAATCAGGACTTCTTTGTTAATACCCACCCCTAGCAGACACTGAAGGGTGGGCATAGGCTGTATGATTTTCTGCCCTCTTTGAGCCAATTTTTAGCTTATTTTTTTTCAGTCTTGCAAGAATATTTTTGGATTTGGCCGAGTTTAGGCTTCATTGTGCGTCCTGAGTCTTGCGGTATACAAGGGGTAAGGCGGGGCAATTACACTCCCATGACCACCTCCCAATCAGGAATCGTACAATTGGATGAAAATCAATTGACAATTGTAAGAGTATCCTGTCGTTGAAACAGAGTTACAAGCCGATGTACCTCAACCTTGCCTTTTGCACATGTGCAAACAAGCAAATTCCTCTTCTTCTCTGACTCTGAATAGATGAGAACAACCAATGCCATCTTTCTACAGGGCTGACTCTGATATGTGGCATTTGGCTGTACACTGTTAGCCATCAGATTGCATCAGACCATCAGTGTAGGAGCAGATACTGTGAGCTGTGAACTTTTAAAGCTGCAGATTCATCTCACAGTTTGATCTATAGCTGTGTACAATGAAAATATTGTAAATGGCCTACCATAAGTAGTAGACACCAAATAACATAACAGTCATGTTTTCAGACTCTGAGAGGAAGTTGGAGTATCTGGAGAGAAACCACGCATGCATAGGGAGAACATATAAACTCCATGTAGAAAGATTGGGAATCGAACCCAGGATCTTCTTGCTGCAAGGCAACAGTGCCACCAACTGCTGGACATAAAAGGAAAAGTGCTTCATAGTAGCTGCAAACCAGTTAGAAATGTAAATGTCTTTGTTCAACTTTAAACAAGAGTTTATACAAGCCTCGCTTTCCTCAATATAAACGTTGAAGCTAATGTTAGCTTAGCTAACAAAGTTCCCAATTTAACATTAATCATTTAGAGAAATTGTCACTGCTGTAAAAAAAATTATTTGTAACTTTGATAAACTAAGTTTACCAATTTTTAACTCTTTGACAGAACAACAATTAGCCTGAAGATGCTTTGTTAACGTTATTAGCTACAACCAGGAAGAAAACAATACAGTCTCAAAAGGCAGGTTTTTTCTGAAAAGTGACCAACCACTGTTTACTCTCTAAGGTTGGTTTTACCCTTAAAGTGAAAAAGGTTGACATGAGCGCAAAGAAACAGGTCCACATGCAAGTAGGAGAGAATCTTAATGCACATAAAAAGCAAGCCACGAGGAGAGGGCACTCATACTTGTGCCTCATGGTATTAAAACTTCACACATGAATCATTCTAAATGCATGCGGATAGTAATTGACGTTAGCTTGTTTCAAATTAAACTGCTTGTGTGGATATTTATTACATATTATGCCTTTCAGCACAATATTCTGAAGTCATACTTTTTCTTTTCTTCTAGATTTTGAAGCACTTGCTGACTGACCACATAATATTTCTCATGTTTACAAGTTCAAGCATTTAACGGCGGTAGTCACAGGCCGTTTCTCAATTTACAAGAACGCGAGTACGGACTCCTGTCCTCGCCAAGTATGCTCTTAAGAACACAGGAAAGTGTGGACTCTGGGAGAATGGGAGCACGCAGCATAAATATGGGTAAATTGGGGGTAAAAATGGGCTAAAGTTCGCCCTTGCTGCGGCTACCCTCGGAGGCCCGCTGGTTGCCGCGGTCCTCTCAACATCAGAACTTTTTTTTTTATTACGCACTAAATCAGCAAATGGGACATATAGTGAAGCTTAAAAGTATAATGTTCTCCACTCAAATGATCTTAAAACGTACTCTTATAGAACAACAGCAACAGAAAAGAGAACTTTAACATAATATTCTGAGCTATGTTAGCGCTAACCTGGAAGCTGCTGCTGCAGTCTGCTCTGATGCATACTGGGTAAAGATGAAGGGGCGAGAACAACTTCCGGGCACTTTGTCCGTTCTCAGTCTTTTGTTTTTTTGTGAATTGGAACAGTACTATGGCTAATGACATTTCAAGAGCACAGGAGCACATGAGAACGCACAAGTACACGTATTGAGAAACGGCCACTGTCTTCATCCAAACTGGCTAACTATAAGTTGAAAGAGAAAAGGGAGCCGCCCACGCAGACTTCCTCAATAATGTAATTACCAGTGTTGTGCCTGAACGCGTTCATTGAACGAAAGTTCATGAACGCGTTCATATTTTGGGCGAACGTGAACTGAACGTACTGTATTACTGCCTGATGAACGTTATTGTGAACTCGTTCATTCTGGTGTCTGTGAACGGCACGCTCTCTCAGTTCAACTCCGTTCAATAGGTTGCCAGATTTCTATAGAGCCCTCCAGGCGAAACCCCGGCTAAATCACACCGTAAACAGGGCTTAATATGTAGCGGGAAAAACACCCAATCTGGCAACACCAGCTACCAGTGTCGTAGCCTACAGCCGCGTGCGTCATCAAAACAAAATGCAGCGTGGAAGCCACAGCAGCATGGAGGCGACCGTGGAGGCGACAAAGCAGCAGTATGATCACTTAAAACAGTTTTATGACCAGGTGGTCGGTGAGGATGATGGCAACAATCTTACATTTCTCTGCAAACTTTGCCCGCCGGCTTTCAGTAAAAAAATCCGCACTTAAACCTGATTGGTATAATTTTCCAGGATTCCAGTATTCCTTTTTAATATGTACTGAAATGAAATTTCAAATGGAAAAAATTATAAAAAAAAAAAAAAAAACATTTGCACCTTAAAGACCACTTTCCTGTTTTTCTTTTAATAATTCCTAATAAAAAAGACCATTCAAGCAGCACATTTTTCCTGATGTTTTTGAGAATATACTGTAGGGGTGAAAGCTGCAGCTGCTACTAGTGTGAAGTGAATGGACAGCATCAAAGCATTAAAGCAACAATGGGGAAATGCTATCCCCTCAATGCTAATGTAAACCCTGGTTGGATAAGGATTC